CGGCCTCAACGGAGCTGCGGGGAGACGCGGGGTCAGGTCTGCACGGGCTCACTGCGCACGGCAGGCCTCGGCCCGAGCCGCACCGCGAAGACGCACCGCAGAGTTGCTCGGAGCCTCGGAGAGATTTGGGATGAGGAGCGAGTCGCTCGGTGCGGGGAAGGGGTGCTGAAGGGCTGGGGCCTAGAGCCGAGAACGACCCGGGAAGCAGAGACAGAGCCGGTAGAGAACAAGCGGAAAAGGCCTGAGATGGCCGGAAGTCGGGACAAGCGCTGGCGGGGCGGGGCCTGAGGCACCTGCTCCAGCGACCCGGATGTGCTCTCGCCAGGCCGCGGGGAAAGGCGCTGGAGTGTGTACGTGGAAGCTCGCAAGGCGTCTGCTCTACCTCTGCCGCCGCCTGGGCCGAGGGGCGGGGCCAGCTTGGGGGACGTGGCGGGGCGGGGCCAGGAGAAGGGGTGTGGCTAGCGGGTTCCTCTGCCTGGCTGGCAGCGGGTGTAGGAGCTGCCAGCCCCGGGATATTTAGCTCCTCCGGCTTGTTTCTGAGAGCAGCGATGGGGCAGCTCCGAGGGAGTGATGAAGAAAGAGTTCACTTTGCCGTAGGGGGCTAATCACTATGGTAGAGCGCTTTGCAATTTTCAGAGTTTTCTTATAAACCAAAAAATATTGCCGGGAAGCATTTTAGCTAGGAGCTTGAATTCTGTGACCACCAGACTGCAGGAGTTCTAATCCCTACTCTATTTACTGGCAGTGTGACCTTGAGCCAGTTGCTTAACCTTTCAGCTTCAGTCTTTGCATCTGTGAAATGAGGGCAATAATAGTACGTAACCCAGAAGGTTATTACAAGGCTTCACTATTTGGAAAAAGTCCCTAGAAGAGTGGTTGTTATGTAGTAAGCGCTTGATAAGCTTTTACTAAATGAAAATAAGCATGTCTTGAGCAATCCTTATTATGGGCACTGTGCTAAGCACATAGATTATGTCTTTCAATCCTTCAAGCCACCCTATAAGGTAGGTATTATTATGCCTATTTTACTGATGAGGAAATTCAGGATCAGAAAAATTGAATAAATTGCCTATGATCACACCACTAGTTTGTGTTGGAGTGCTTAAAAAAATAGTAGGTGTTGATTTTTTAAATTATACATTTTCTTGTGCATATAATCACCGATTAGGTATTATACCTTCTTTTCACAAGTAACCATGGTGAGGCCCATGTACTTTAAGACATTCAGCAGAGGGTGGATAGAGGGTTTTAAGAGAAGGAAATAGAGGCAGGTGGGCAGGAACCAGGCAGGGACATGAATGAGGGTGGAGTGGGGATAGGGGTGGGAAGGTGGA